AGGCCGGCGACGCGGCCCCAGCACCTCCGTGGACCACGCCCCCCCTCCACGGTGCACCCCCTGCCCTCCCCCCTGCACCCACGCGCCCCAGGCGGCTGCAGGCGGTGTGTGTCTGCACAGCCGCGACCAGGGTGCCCCGCCAGCTGCTTGAGGTCGCCTTCTCTTTCCCTGTCCCTGGCTCCTGGGAACATCTCAAGCACCTGACATTCCCACAGCACCTGACGCCATACAGAGCACTTTGTGCATCTTGGCGGCCTGGGCAGGAGAGCAGGCATATGTGAGCACCTTGTTTAAAGTGGGGAGACTGAGGGCCAGAGGGGCTGGCGGTTTGCCCGTGGGACAAGCCTTCCAGGGGAAGTCCACCTCCAGGCTCCATGGCCACGTGAGGCCTCCTTCCTGGAATCTTCCTCTGTCCGCCTCCTCCACACACACCCTCACCCCTATCCTGGCCCATCTCAGGGGCAAAGGTCATCTGGGAGCTGGCAAGGTGGCAGCCCCGTGGGCGCCTGGCTAGAGGTGGGCAGCCCCACTGATCAGGGACTGTGAGGGGTCACACTGAACACAAGCCAGGAGGCCAGTGCAGCTGGGACAGGCGATCAAAGTGGGGATGGTGAGAGATGAAACCAGGGGCTGGTGGGGGTGGCCCAGGGCACCTCACTCACCTTTAAGGAGTCAGGAAGGGGACACGCTCCAATTTCCCTCATTCACTGGGTCCTCCGACTTTCCTTAGGCTCCGCCCTCCTGCCAAGTGGCCGGCCCCACTTGGTGACAGGACTACTGGTGGCTGCAATTCTTCTGGCCAAGGTTGCATAACACCCACTGCTCAAGGTCAGAGGCCCAGGAGGCCGAAGGGAGGGTGGGGCCATGCTCCCTGCAGCTCCAGCCTGATGCCTCAGCCCTGTCATTCCTCGGGACCCCGGGCCCACCCTGCCAGCCTCTCTGCTGTGGACTCGAAGCAGTCTTTCCAAAGCAGACAACCCAGAGGAGACAGGAGCCCTCCCCTCTCCCCAGCCCTTCCCCTTCTGCCTGCAAGGTCTCTATGCTCCCCAGGGGACGAGGGAGGACTGGGAGCCACAGTGGGTCAGTCTAGGGGGAGCACTCCAGGGTGGGGTTCCTAGAACACCCTCTCACTGCATGGCAGCCCCATGTCTGCCCTGTGGTGTCACAGCCCTGCAGCCAAGACAGAAGCTAGTCACGCGCTGATTCTAAAGCGACACGGTGGGAGCTGCTCGGCGCCAGGCTCTGGTCTGGGCCCTGGGGATACACAGTGAACCAGACTGCCCGGGCCCTGCACGCAGATAATACGCAGAGAACAAATCCATGCCTGAGATAGAGGAGGCCGCGGTAACGGAGTGGGGGCTGCGGTTCAGGTCGCCTGGGGGAAGGAGGAGGGGGGAGTCGGGGGTGGCCTGAATGATGAGGACCAGCCGGCCACGCCAAGCCCTGGGGTCAACATTACAGGCAGGGAAGAGCAAGCGAGAGGCCCCGAGGTGGGACTGGCTCCTGTGTTTCTGGGAGGGAAAGGAGGCCGGGGTGCTCAGAGGCTGGTATACAAGGATGAGTTCACGATGAGCTGCCAAGGGAATGGGTGGGGGGGTCACCTTACGGCAGCAGGGAGCCCCCAGCCGAGGTCACGCAGGGGCGTGCCGTGGTCTGCCACGGATGAGCAAATGCAGTGCTAACCGCCCTGTGCCCTCCTGGGTCCAGCAGAGGGTCAGGAATTCCCACAGGGGCCCCCTCGGTCTCTGCCTGACGTGGGGGCCCCTGTGCGCCTCCCACCCCCTCCCCTGCCCGGCCGACTTCCCTTCACTCCCTCCCTCTTGGCACCTCCACTTCATCTCCTCCACCAGACCCGCCCTCCCCGCTCCCCTTCCTTTCTTCCCGACCCAACACAGACCTGTTCTTCCAGGCCCACCTCCTCCAAGAAGCCTCCAGAAGCTGCCACAGGGCCCGCTCAGTCCCTGCTGTGATGGTCTTTTGGACACAGACGGGCCTGTCTCCTCAACTGACGGGGGACAATGCCTGCATGCCTCCACGTCCCCGCAGCTCCAGCCCACCTTGGCCATTCTGGTGCTGGCCATATAACCCCTCGGGACGCGCAGGCCCACTCACCCGTCCACGGCCCCCAGACCCACAGGGCGCACCCTCCTTCCTCCCACCAGAGAACCCGCCCCACGGACGGCGCCCCTGTCTTTGGCCACTGGAGGGCACCCTGGAGCTCGCGGGCAGGTGACAATAAATTCAGCTGTAAGACGGGAGACACACTCTTTGAAGGACGGGCTTGTCAGGATCTGCCTGTTCCTCGGATATGAACCCACCCCTCCCCTCCCCAGGCCTCTGGCTTCTACTACAACTTGAGCTCCATATCCCACTCTAGTAACCATCCAAGCGGCCCTCCGCAGCTGCCAGGAAGACCCCGTGGCTGCCAGGCCCCGCACCCAACAGTTCTCCTGGAAGGACGAGTGCATCTGCACCGCCTGCGGCCCTCATCCCGCCCTCACCAGCTTCCGAGTCTAGATAGTCCCAAATCAGGCTTGAGGGGACAGGTGGGGTCTCCCTGCGCATCCACGTCCGCGAGCACTCACAAGTGCCAGCACAGCCACCATGACCCCCGGGTCTCCAAAAGACCCCAGCCCTCCGCTGAGAACGCACAAAGACCATGGTCAGCCTAGCCGACTCTCCAGGGCCCGGCCGACAGCTACTCTGAGAATCGCTCTTGATGGGCTTTTTCAAAACGAAAAGACAAAGAGAGCGAGAAAAGAGAGGAAAATAACCTGGTGTGTCCCACATTAAGTATTCTGCTGCCCCCAAAACAGTCCCAGCGGTTGACCAACTCACAGAACAAGCTCCGTGGGCCAGGAACGCGGTAGCCAAGATGGGCCGTGAGCTGTGGGCCTGTCTCCCAGCTGTGCAGCCGGGAGAGGGGCACCACCCTGAGCGGCATGGCCAGGTTCAAAGCAGCTCCCAGCACTCACTCACCAACACTCTGCAGCCCTGGGCAAGTGCTCACCTTTGGGCCTCAGTGTCCTGACCTGTAAAATCAGGACCAATAGCAGTACCCGCCTGAGGGGCTGGTCCGATGATTAAATGAATTACTATTTGCAAACTACCAGGGCCTGGCCCACAGAAGGGCCCTGTGTTGTGTTTTAGAGTTATGAAAAGACAAGGTATCATGTGGCAAAAAAGTCACGTCTCCCTTTCATCTCCAAACCTTCTTGTTTCTCTAGCAGAAAGTTTCTGGTTAGTGATACTAAATCTTAAACACCTCCCTCGGTGGCACGGAGAGAGGACCCAGGCCCAGAGCTCTGGTGGGCAACAGCATCAGGGCGTAACATGACAGCACTGTTTTATTCGCTTTCTATTCTTTTCTATGATCACCCACAGTTTGGATGAGTGCTACTGATTTTCCATTTGTGTGTGTTATTTAAATTTTTTTTCCTTTTAAAAGTAACTTAAGTACAAAAGAATGAGTTAATTTAAAGAAAAATGTTGACCAAATAACAGTACAGGTGGCTGGTGGACGTGACAAAGTGTTTAAATAATAAAGGAGGTTATCCAGAGGCAGACCTGCTAGAGGTTGTCCACACTCCTCCTGCCGCCTCCTCCCTTCCCACTGTGTGGCCAGCCCAGGATGCTTCTGGAAGGCAGCATTCAGGCCTCCACATGACTGATGCCCAAAGATTCCCCCGGCCCCTTCACAGAAATACACTGCATTTCATACATGCCCTGCACCCTTCTCAGCTACCAACCAGGGGACTCCAGGACACCACTGAAAACTAACATTGTAATTTGCTGTACAAAGTTCCTTTCAGCATCAGCCGAGCTGAAACAGAGTCTGGAGGAAACCTAGCTGAACAAAGCCATGCACAGCATTCTGGAGTCAAGTAGAGATGACTAGGGACTCACTTATACATGGTCCACACACAGCTGCCTGTCAGCTCAGAGCCTTTGTTGAATGTGGCCAGTCTAGGTGCTGGCAGCAATGGATGGACCCTCTGAGTAGTTCGTGGCTGGCTGGGTGTGTGACTGGGCTGGAGAAAGCCCCCTTTGTCAGGAGGCCTGGTGCTTTAGAGCCCGCCCTGCATGCTGTCACCAGGAGGCGGCGCTCTTGGGCTCCTCAACGTCCCCTGAATCCTTTCTCAAGCAGCTTCCGAAGTAGAAAGGAATTCAGAATCTCCTATTTCTCCAACTTCTCCTCCTCCTCTGAAACAGCCGCACTCCTCCTTGGACCAGCGTTGGGGAAGCGGTCATGAAGTGTTTCTGTTTCCTTGTTCCTAGTTTTAAATGGAGCCCCGAGCAAAATACCGGAAGTTGAGAGAAAAGAACTACAACTTCCCATACTAGGTTTGCTCTAGGATCCTATGAGGGGAGGGATCTTGTAGCCCATGCTGAGCACAAGGACCACCCGGACCACCCTGGATCAGTGGTTGTTGAGTCTGAGTATGCCTTGGGATGGATTTGTAAGATCAGACGCTGTGCGTGTGAGTGTGAGCACACACACATTTGTAAGTCTTCAAGTATGGAAGTGGGCCTGAGAATTTGCATTTCTCCCTAGTTCCCAGGTGATTCTGATGCTGCTGGCCCTGGCACCGCACCTGAGAATCTCTGCACCTGGGAAAGGTTATGAATGAATGAATGAATGAATGAATGAATGAATGAGAGAAAGAAAGAAAATTGGTCTATCCTCGTGTTAAAGAGGATAAGAACTGAGGCGGTGTCCCCCACTAGCTGGCTCTGGACAGAGGTGGGAGGGGAGCACGGACATGTCCAAGTTCAGCCCCGGTGGGCCTGGCCAGCCTTTTCCCGCAGAGGAGTTACTTGTTAAGGCAAAGAGTCAGTGCTTTCCAGAACCCAGGGAGCTGCTCCCCTCTCCGCTGAAAAGTAGGAGCCTGTCTCAAAGGCGGGGGGTCCCTTCAGCCCATTCGCAGTCTTTTCATTTGTCCTGGAGCCCAGCAGGAGCACCCGCCGGTCATAAAACCCGACAACTGCCTGCGACGCGTCCCAGACACCTGCGGAACGCGCGGGTTCGTCTCCCCGGAGCAGGATCCTAAGCACCGCCGCCCTGCTGCGCCTTCACACCTCGCAGAAGTAAGTGCTTCGCGCACTGGACTCGCTGGGAGGCAAGACCGCAGGAATCGCTCGCTCCCCCAC